GGTAAGGCCAAGAAGATAGTGTTCCCCCCACCCCATCCCCGGCTTCCAGCTCCAATGGAGGGCAACAGTTTCAACACCTGGAGGAAGGAATGTCACTGTGTCTCTCATCCTCCCAGCTCTGTTGCAAAAACTCTACTCCATTCAGGTGTGGCCAAGAGAACTGGGGAGCCCTTCCCCACCCAGAGCCACCTTGTAGGGTGGAAATTCTACACCAGCTTCAGCAGGTAGAAATCCCAGCAGACACATAAGCAACTTCACCCTCCGCACAAACTAGAAATTAGACTTCATAGGATTTATTTAGAATTAAATAAACAAATGCTCGAGTAAACAGCAGTTATAATAGCGAACCCCAGAACAGGGTAGGGTGCAGTGTCTAGAGTTGCTGCAACATGCCATCTAAACTGTTTAGCTGGGCACAGTGGCATATACCTGTAATATAGCAATTTGGGAGGCTGAGGCAGGCAGATCCCAAGTTTGAGGTCAGCCTCAGCAATTTAGCGAGACCCCATCTCAAAAACTAAAACAGGGCTGGAGGTGTAGCTTGGTGACAGAGCACCCCTGGGGGTTCAGTCCCCAGCACCAAAACAATAAATAATAAGTTAAAATGTCAGGTTTTCATTGAAAAATTACAAGACCTGCAATGAAGTAGGAGCTTGGCCACACACAGGGGAAGAACCTGGCACGGAAACCGCTGTTGCAGGCACCCAGGTGTTGAATACATTAACGAAGATGCCCTGAGCAGCTGTAAGCATCGTGTTCCTCAGCCCAACTGTGCCAGGGCAGTGCGGTCAGTTGCTAAAAGGCCAAAATAAGAGCCTGGAGACATCGAGCAAGACGCTTGGTTTATCTGGGAAGGCTTACAAGAGGTCAGGGCTGTCTGAGGAGGTGAACGAATGGACGGCACCGCTGCCCTCATGGCGCCTCCTCCAGCAGCGGCCTCTCCCGCACAGCGCCTGGCCCAGCGGCAGCCACATCCGTCCACAGGGCCCTCGGTTCTGCACCATCACCACTGAGAGGTGTGTTTCAAGGTCAGGGTGCAGAAGTAGTGAAGTCATCAGCATCCACTTGCTTAGCTTGCTTGTCTGACCAGCGTCCCAAGGAGCAAGGGTCCTGATATAGATGCAAGAAAGCAGCTGTCCTCAGACAGCACCGACTCACTCTGGTTCCCTTGTGCACAGAGAAAGCCAGTGTCCTTCAAGATCAAATGTACCTGACATGCTGGCCCAGCCTTGCTCTCAGGTTCCCTTTACTTGGCTGAGTTTTTGGAGACAGAAAGGGGACCATTCAGGAACTTGGTGTGTTACTGTCTCCCTTTGCTTTAAGGACAATATAAACATGTTTTTAAAACACAGCAAAGTCCATCAAAAACCCTAAATCAGGCCAAGCTATGATTTGAAAGTGAAGGTAAAACAAAGACATCACAGATTAAGCAGAAATTAAGAGAATTAATTGCTGGCAGAAGACACTTATCCAAGATGGTGATTCAGATTCATGTGAAAAGATGCTACTTTTCAGTAGAGGCGACCATGCAGGGGATGCCAAGCAACAGCGTGCTCACATATGTGCTCAGTTCTTCTTTTAACTGATTTGAAAAGCAACTGCAGCAATGGCATGCACCTGTAATCCAAGTGACTGGGAGGACGACAGCCAAGGAGGAGCTCAAGTTGAAGGTCAACCTCAGTATCTTACTGAGACCCCCTCTCAAAATACAAACTAAATAAGGTTGGGGATGTAGCTCAGTGGTAGGATACCACTGGGTTCAACCCCCAACACTGTAAAAATATGAAATAAAAATAATAATAAACCAGGTGTGGTGGTGCATGCCTAAAATCCCAGCAGCTTGGGAAGCTGAGGCAGGAGAATTGTGAGTTCAAAGCCAGCCCCAGACACTTAGTGAGGCCCTGAGCAACTTAGCAAGACCCTGTCTCAAAATAAAAGGGCTGCTTATATGGCTCAGTGGTTGAGCACCCTTGGGTTCAATTCCTGGTACAAAAAGAAGAAAGAAAGAAAAATAATAAAAGTCAATTGCAGCTGGGTGTGGTGGCACACACCTATAATTCCAGTGACTAGGAGGCTGAGGCAGGAGGACTGCAAGTTCAGGCCAGCCTGGACAATGTAGAAAGACCCTGGATCAAAAAATAAAAAGGCTGGGGGCATAGCTCAGTTGTGGACCACCTCAGGTTTAATCCGCAGTACGAAAGAGAGAGGAAAAAAGAGGGAAGGAGGGGGAAAGGAAGGAAAACAGCACAAATCAGCCCACCACACCACTGCTTCATAAACGGAGCAGTCTGAATGACCCAAAGTCAGAGGCCGTCAGACTGGCACAGAAAGAAGCCCCCGTGATATGCTCTTTTCAGATTCAGATACAAATAGGCTACAAGTAAAAGGATGAAACCCTACTGTGCATATGGCAACCGCACCGGGCAAAACAGACTTTAAGATGAAATCTACTCCTGGAGATAAAGAGGGATATTTCGCATTGGCAAAAGTGTCATTCCACCAACAAGACATTACAGTCCCAACACTAATGGGTGACGTCCCGAGAAAGACTCACAAGGCAGGAATGTGAGGCGCTCGTGGAGTGGTCAGAAGCAAGGTGCAGTCACCTGTGTCAGTCCCACTGAAAAATCAAGCCGAGAGGCTCTGAAGGGAGAGTCTGACACAGGAGGGCCTGATAATAGCCATCACAGAAGACCCACCAGCACCTGAAGTCTGTGATCTAACACAACTGCTCCTAAAGAAGATTCAGATCTTGACACACACGCAGACAAGAACAGTTTACAGACCAAGAAAAATGTGAAGCTGGTTATGTGACAGTATCCCCCTCCCCAAGCAAGGACACCAAGGACAGTGGCGCTTCCCTCAGACACCTCTGCACAGAGGACGTGCTCACAGCTCTGACATGGGCCTCCACCAAGGTCAGGAAGAGAAAAGCTACTGTGTCTACTGATCCCAGGTTATTATTATTATTTTTTAATATTTATTTTTTAGTTGTAGTTGTACACAATCTCTTTATTTATTTATTTATTTTTATGTGGTGCTGAGGACCGAACTCAGGGCCCCTCATGTACTAGGTGAGCACTTTGTCGCTGAGCTACAGCCCCAGCCCCGATCCCAGGTTATTCTTGTTCCCGTGGTCTGTCTAGGTCCACAGAGCCACTGAGAAGGGAGCCGGGTTCCTACACCATTTATTTAGACACTGCTGGCTCTGACTTTTTCCTGGGTTCTCACAGTTTGTATCGGTGCCTTTATTTGGAGGCTTACATAGGATTGCATCCTTTTTGAGATAATGTCTCATCTGATGCCCAGACACAGTGATAAACATCGAACACATCTGCTTGTGATATCGTCTTTAAAAGTAGGCTCTTGCTGGGCTCTGTGGGGCACGCCTGTAATCCCAGCGGCTCAGGAGGTTGAGTACAGAATTTGAGAAGATCAGGAACATAAGAAGGGCACTGAAGGGCTGGGGATGTGGCTCAAGCGGTAGCGCGCTCGCTTGGCATGCGTACGGCCCGAGTTCGATCCTCAGCACCACATACAAACGAAGATGTTGTGTCCGCCGAAAACTAAAAAATAAAAAATATTTAAAAAAAAAAAAAAAAAAAAAAAAGAAGGGCACTGAGCACACAGCCCCTCAAGGTAGAAGACCAAAATATGCCACCCCACCCCTCAAAATATGCCTCTTTGGCATCAGAATTATTTCCCACTGTTTATTTTGAGAAACAGCAGGCCCAGCAAAAGGTCTAAGAGCAGAGTTGAAGTTGTCCTTTTCAAGGGAAAATTACATTTATAAAGAAAAAGAATGGTGACAGGTGGAGGGAGCTCCAGCCACACTCTGCGGAGGTGACCGCTGCACCCACGCATTTCCCGCCTGCCTCCCCTCTGCCTGCCTTTCCATGTGAGTTGACAATCCAACACAAGCTGGAGTTGTCACAGGCCACCTGTGACAGGGTCCCCCTCCAAGAACTTAGAAAGGCAGAGGAAAAGAAATTTTCTTCCTCTACACCACCAGCTCCTCTGTGGGGCTTTCAACCTCCCAAAAGTTGAAATGCCTTTCACTTAATCCAGGATTCCTCTAAGCCATCCAATGTCGCTCAGAGCAGAGAGGATCCAATGGCTGACGCTTTTCAAGAAGTCCCACCCTGGAATGACTCCAAGGCACACTTGCTGGTGCAGGGCGTCCCTCCAGAGGCCCTGGCCTTTCGGAGATTTACAACTCAAAATCGTGGGCGCCGTAGACACACACATACTCTCTGTCTGTAGGTGAAGATCGGAGGCCGTGAAGTGACGAGCGGTGGCCACTCAGGTGAAACAGCCGGCCCTGCTCAAGGTCCTCCAGGGAAAGTCCTACTCCTCTCCAGAGCCCTTCACACCCAACTCGGCTTGAAAAAGTTACAGAAGATGTGGAAAAACCAGTTTTGCCCCAGTTTGCAATGCCTTTTAGCAATTCTTACTCTAACCTGAGCCTCTGCACCCTCTCTTGACCATTCTCTCTTGGTCTGCCTCTCTCACGAGTGAAAGGAAATGACAATCGTCTTCTTGCTTCACTTTTCACTGCAAACGACCTTTTGACAACTCTTATCTGCATCGAAGTTCTCACACGCCCTGCTGGATGGTTTACAAAGAAGACCAAAGTTGAAAGTTTCAGTTTAAAAAGGAGAGAGACAAAAGTAGATTTATCAAACATAAGAATTATGATGCCTAGAGTCAGTTCCCCTAAAACGAGTCTTTTCCTGGACCTCACACACCTGGCAGCATTGGGCTGGAGCCTGAGAACCGGGAAGTGAACTGTGGGTTATTCCACCCCACTGACCTGGGTTGTAATTTTCACTCAAGAGTAATATGTTGTTTTTCTTTCTTTCTTTTTTTTCTAAAATCAAGGCGGTGCTAATTTCTCAGAGGGCTGCTGGGCAGCGGTGGAGAATGCAATCTCTGGGTTGGGCAGATGGGGACCCGGAGCCAGAAGCGCACTGTGGTCTTGGGTGACCGCTGGCTGGCAGAGGAAGTTTCCTTTACTGTGAAATGGGGAGGACCATGGTCCCTCCCGTGGATACGCAAGTCGCCCTGGGGGCCCGTGAAGCCCCACACGGTGGGTTCCATGCACGATGGGTGCCTGGTGCAGTGCACAAGGTTTCAGAAGAGGAGGAGGAAGGTGCAAAGGCCACGTGACCGAGAGCCGGTGCCTCCCATAAACAAGGCGCTACTGCATGTGGTGATCTCCGGTGTCCTTGTGACAGCCCAGAGGCACAGGCCTCTGCTTTTCCCATTTAGGGATGAGGGGGGCAGATCAAGGAACTTGATAAAGTGCGCTTGCTTCTCATGGATGTAGTCCTCATGAAGCTCTGCATTCAGAAATTGGCTTCAGAGACAGAAAAGGAAGGTGAACTTGTTTGAACAAAAGGAGTTTCTCTTCCTTGCAGCCACGCCAGCCTATAAGCCTTCATAAAGCAGCGAAGGCGGTTCCTCTTCCCCTGGCAGAGACTGATAGCCTCCGCACTCACCACAGTGGCTCCCGGTGAAGACAGGGTGCACACTCCCTGACCAGAGGCCTGGGCGGGGAGCCCGTCCCTGTTCACATCCAGCCCCAGGATATGGAGAAATCTCCTATAGGGCCCCACTCACCAGCATGAGGTCCTGCCCACGGAGACTCAGTCGCCTGGGCCAAGTGTGGCCCTTGCTTGTGGCCGCGCTGATCTTCTTCCTCTTCACCCTGCCTTCCTTCATTAAGGAGCCCAGCACGAAGCCTTCCAGGTAAGAGTCGCACCCTTCCAGGTTCCTCCTGTCCCCCTGAGGGGGCCTGAAAACTGTAGCCCAGGGAGCCTTGGGACCTCTGAGCCACTTGTGAAGGTGTCAGATCAGAGATGTCAAGAACCACTGGTCAGGAAGACCCAAGGGAAATGGACCCTAGGGAGATGGAGGAGATAGTGGCAGTGGGAGAACCAAGGTCCAAGGACACCACCAGGCTCCTGTGGGGCAGAAATGGAGGCGGGAGCTGAGAACTCATGGAGCGGTCAGCAGAGAGCACAGGTGGACAATGGGTGAGCTCCCCTCTGGGACTGTGAGTAATGCCAGCAGCCTCAGCGTTCGCTCTCACAGGCCTAGAGCAAAAGACGCGTCCCAGCTGTTCCATGTGTTTAAAACCATGCCACCCTGAGAAGTCTGTCAGTGAAACAGAGCTTCCACTGAGGGAGGTAGCTCTGATTCTGTGCCCCAAGTCAGTCCTCCAAAAAGACAGAGCCATTTTTCCTTAGAAAATAAACACACCTCTGGCAGTGAGGGGCCCTTTTCCTTCCAGACTCAAAAAAAATTATTTTTTCTTCTTTTGGTTTTGCATGTGTGTTCTCATAGAGTTAAAAATAATACAGAGAAGAGAGGCAGGAAGTGAAGGTCACCCCGTGACACCCCACATCTGATCACTGTTGATACTTTGGTATTATGATTATAGCTTCCACCTCCACAGCATTATTGTGTGCCAGGCCCTATTCTAAATGCTTTATGTTCATTAACTAATTCTCGTTATTATGAGGATGCTGAGACACCGAGGGCTAAGCTGAGTCACCTAAATAACACTGCTCAAACGTCTCAGGGCCAGGATTTAAACCCAGGTATTCTGATCCTGTATCCCAAGTATGTCTCCTTTATGCTATGTAACACCTTCATCTATGTATCCCACCATACTTACTGTGCCGCAGGACAATGATTTTTTTCAGTACTGAGGACTAAACCCAGGTGCTCTACCGCTGAGCCACTTCCCCAGCCCTTTTGATTTTGAGACAGGATCTCGCTATGTTACCCAGGCTGGCTTCACACTTTCAATCCTTCTGCCTCGGCCTCCTAAGTAGCTGCATTACAGGCATCCAAGGCCTGGCTATAAGGCAATTTTAAAATCACGCTTATGGTAGACATTTTTCCATGTTATTGATTCATAGATTACTATTTATTATTATCATTAATTAATTTATTTATTTATTTTGTGGTGCTGGGATGGAACCCAGGGCCTCAGGCATGCTGGGCAAGCGCTCTGCCTTGAGATAACACCCAGCCCCACTCCCTCTCCCTTCTTTTTCATAGCTGCATAGCATTTTGCAGAACTGATAGGGTTTCTTTAGCCAAGCCCTATTGATTAGCACAGGGGTATTGGACGTAGGGGTGGGCAACGGGATTGTCACTCATTTTTCACTTCCTTTTGTACATTTCCTTAGCATTTCTGTAGATGGATTTCTTGCAGTGGGATTGCCAAGACAATGATTACAGCCATAAGAAATGTTAATGGAGACGTCAAAGCATTTTCCCCAAAGGCAACACTAGGGGGCGAGAAGGTTAGCTCTCCGCCAGATATGGCCACCCTGGGGAGCTTCAATGCTTTGGGGGTTTCCATTCTATAGGCAAAAGTGTGTTTCTTTTTTAAATTTTCATTTACCAGTTTATTGGGGAAGCTAAGGCTCTTTTTAAAGTTGTTAACCATTTGTACTTTTCTGTTTTCTTTTTTTGGTACCAGGGATTGAACCCAGAGGTTCTTTACCTCTGGGCCACAGTCCCGGCCACCGCCCCCGACGGCCCCTGCTTTTTTTTAAAAGTTAATTTAAAGACAGGGTCTTGCTAAGTTGCTGAGGCTGACTTTGAACTTGCGATCCTCCTGCCTCAGTCAGGGGGAACAGGAGAGGAGCTCTGAACCACGTAGGACACCTAGATCTCTCAAGGAGATCAGAGACATGAGAGAGAGCGAGGGCGAGAGACAGAGAGCGGGGGAGAGGAGACAGATTGTATTGTAATTTTTCTTAGACCAAGTCTCGGGTTTTTAGGTTGGTTATTTTGTTTTGGTACTGTGAACCCAGGCCCTGCACATGCTAAGCAATGCTCTGTCACTGAGCTACACTCTCAGCCTCCTAAGACTGAATTTTCAGCCTCAAAAGTGACTATAACATTTTGGAGTCATTCCCGTTTCCATTAAGGAATGGGAAAAAGGGAAACATATTATGCTGCTCAATAAACTGTTTACATAATTAAGTTCCCAAATGGTTAACAGAAGAACCAAGTGCCATACGGAGTCCCTGGAAGAGACTCCCTAGAAATTCTCTGTTGAAGGATTCTCAGAGGATGTGGCACTTGAGACGAGCAGGGCTCAGATGAGGGACTGGGGAAAGGCGTGTGGGTGGGTGAGGAAATCCTAAAACGAGTCCTCTGGCCTTGACGAGCCATAGCAAACTGGCCCCAGAGCAGTGAAGGGCTGGCCCTGCAGCAGGGTGGGGACAGAGGCTTGCTGCACGGGGCATGCGGGCAGCGGTGGCCTCATGAGACTGGTATGTGAAGGCCGTTAGTCTGTCAGAGGTGAACTGGGTGGGTGGGAAGGTGGAGTGGGTGCCATCTTGGCCTGACCAGCAGTGGCAACCTAGGGTGGGATACAGAGAGAGTTCCCAAGCAAATGACCCTGACACAAAGTCCAACAGGGGGAGACTAACCACTGAATCTCAAAGTGAAGAGAATCTGGGAGCAGGAAGAAAGGGAACGTTGAGAGGCATGTCAAAGGAAAAGGAAGCAGAGTGGAAGAGGCAAAACGTGACCACAAGCCTTGCACCTTAGAGACTGGCCATGGTCCACCCTCCTCAGTCTTGGTCCCACAGTGCTTCTGGGAAGAGGGTAACAGTAAAACCAGACGTAATCCAGGCACAATGGCACACACCTGTGACCCCAGATACTCAGGAGGCTGGGGCAGGAGGATCACAGGTTCAAGGCCAACCTTGGCAACTTAGTGAGGTCCTCTCTAAAAATAAAACTTATTAAAAATGGCTGGGGATGTGGCTCAGTGGTAGAGTGCCCCTGGATCCAATTCCCAGAACCAAAAAAAAAAAAAAAAAACAGACATAAAAGGGAGTTTTAAAAAGCTTACCTTAATTTATGAGGGTCAAAATCAAGGTGGCGACAACCACTTTCATGACACATCATTAACATTTCAGAACTGGAGATGTTTCCAGAGCACCTCTACCCGGGAGCTGTCTGTGTACTCCTTGGTAGACAGCCAACATCAGGATATTTATTCTTTCTGAAAGATCTCAAATATGAGGCTCAAAAAGGTTAACACTGATTCCACCCAACCAGAAAATAGCAAAACAGATACTTGAACTTAGGGGACTTTGGCTCCAAATGCCATTCTTCCACTATTTCCCTTGTGTGTTGACTCTCAAGAGATGCAAAGTCTAAAGAAAACGAGAGACATACAAAGTAGGCAGCAGGCAGGACATGTGACAAGTGCCACGAAGCAGACAGGGAGGACCAAATCCAAGGGGGAGTCGGAGTGAGAATGTCACGGAGAAGCCTAATGACTGTGTGACATTTCAGCCATCAGGGATGATGCAAACCAAGGGAACAGTGTGAGTGGTGGCCCAGAATGCTCAGGAGGGAGTCGTCGGTGGCTGATCAACCAGCACCGGTGTGGCCCTTGCAGTGTGCCAGGCCTGGTCTCGGCGGCTGCTGCATATTAGGCTTCTTAGGTAGATACATCATCACCACCACTCCCTGTTACAGAGAAGATAACATGCCCAGGACAGTCTGGTCACAAGTGCATCCCAGGCAAGCTGGCTGCCGTCCAGACTCTCAGCCCCAACACCAGGCTCTGCCCTTCAGCTCCTCAGGTTCAACAAACCCAGAGTTTTGTTTCGTCTCCCACCAGAGCACGCATTTCTTGTGGGCAGCCTCTTATTTGTCTCTATTTCCTCGGCATTTTGAGCATGTCCTGAACACAGCACAGGAGCATAGATAAATGCAAGAATAAACTCATGCCCTTAAATAGCAGGCCAAAGTATTTTCAGACGTTATTCTATGCTATAGAACTTTAAGAGCTCGGGATGACTTGCTCAAGTCTGTGCTCGATGCAGGTAACTCTGCCACTGGATGTCCTGGATGATGGGGGACAGTTACGGGGTCAGAGTTCAGGATACCTGAGCAGGGACGGTACAGACAGGAAGAGCGAGCCAAGAGTGCCAGATCTGCGGGACTAGGCCACAAGGAGGATGGAGGAAGGGGTGAAGAAGAGGGACTTAGAGCAGCTCTGTGACCTCAGACCAAGGTTACGGGCCTCCTCTCACATCTTCTTAGGACAAGGTCAAGTGCATCAAACTGTGAAGGTGTTGGTCCCAGGCTAGGTTTTGCAGGCTGATGTGCAGATGTGATCTGAAGCCACCCTCTGCTGCCTGGTATAAATATGTTAGAGAGGATAACTGACCGTAAGCTTTAAAAACACATCTATGGAGTCTGCTTTCCATTTTATTTTGTTTTGGAATAAGAAACACAACCTTGGGGCTGGGGATATGGCTCAAGCGGTTGCGTGTGGCCCAGGTTCGATCCTCAGCACCACATACAAAGATGTTGTGTCCGCCAAAAACTAAAAAATAAATATTAAAATTCTCTCTCTCTTAAAAAAAAAAGAAAGAAAGAAACACAACCTTATTTTCTGTGACCTCCTGATTTCCAATTCTGGACCTCTCCAGGCTGCAGGAGAACTTAACCTCAGCGTTCTTCCCCCTCTGACCCATCCCAGGATGTTGCCAAGGGCTCCAGGACCTGAAGCGGTGCCAAGCATGGGAGGGCAGCAGACTCTTAGCCCCTGGTGGAGCTGCTGCCAAGCAGCACTGCGCCTGTCCCTGGGCTCCCCCAGGTCCACCTGTCTGTGGTCCCATCTCCCAAGGCTCTGCACACAACCATTTCCTTTCTGGGGAAGTGTCAGACCCCCAGATCACTGCCGCAGGGGATAGTGG